ATAAAAAAAAAAAATTGGTTCATACTAACACGTGGAGCCTTCGACTATTGCTGTTTCCATCTCAAACATTTGTTATATTTTGATTTTTACGAAATTTTAAAAAAATTTAATTTAAATATATTTAATATTAAATTTTAAAATTTTTCTATAAAATTAAAGTGTCATAATTTTTAATATCAAAAAATAAAAAAATCATAAAAATTATTTTTAAATATAAAAAATAAAAATTTTAAATATTCAAAAAAATATCTAATATAATTTTGAAACATCTAAAAAAATTGAAAAAAAAAAAAAGAGACAGAGGGATTTCATTGTCTTCTATAACACATTTTTCCTGTTCCATTTTTTTATTAACATTTTAATTTAGCTAACTCAATTTTAATTAGTTTTATTAAAAATTATAAAATTGAGTTTCAAAAATTTTAAATATATTTATAAAAGCTTTGATTTAATATATATTTTAAAAAGTTGTTAAAATTAAATTTATTTAACCAAAAAATCATTAAAAAACATACAAAATGAAATCGATGGAGAACAAAAAAATCATGATGAGTACTGTATTTTCAAATTGGCGCCCCATTTTCGAACTAAACAAAATGAAAAAAATGAGGTGAGGTTTGTTATCTTAATTATAATGGAATTAATTTTTACACTTTTATTACTAATAAAATCATTTTAAAGATAATTGCTCAGAATGTTCAAATTTTTTCACCATAAAATCACGTATCTTTTTTAATGAAATGATAATATGTCAAAAGATTTTTGGAATCTTTTTATTTTTACAGCTGACCTGCAGGTAGCTTTGGTGTCTTAATGACATGTCACGTGCCTTTCTGGACGCATGCAGTACTAACAAAAGCTGATGTAATAGTAAATGGTTAGGGTGATGTTGTTTTGAATAATTGAGTTGAACAGCTACAATTTGTCCTAACTCATTAGTAGAATTGAAAAATAAATAATCAAGATTTGAAATTGTAGTGTTTAATTTGATTTTGATTAATTTTTTATTTAATTTAAATATTAAATATATATATTAAATTTAAATTAAATTTTGAATTGGAAATTAAAT